ATTTGGTTTTCTTTCTCATTATCCTACTCTGGTTTCATTGGTAATAAATTTAATTTTCTCCGAGTCAAGTCTGTTTTGCCCATGACAGTAATTGGTGAGTGATCTCTCCCTGTTCTTATCTTGACCCACAAGCCTTTTGTTGTATTTTCTCTCCTCTGTCCAGCTGAGGAGGGGAGTGATAGAGCGGCTTTGTTGGGCACCTGGTGTCCAGCCAGGGTCAACCCACCACAGTATGCCTAACACATTCCAGTTTAGTGCACAGTCATTTTAATTTTTTCCTCTCTCTCTGTCTCTCATTGCAGGAGTCTCCAAGATGAATACTACAGCAATGAGCCCACTTGCTGTTACACCACTAGGTTTTGTTCCAGATTTAAAAAATGCCACACTTGTGCCTTTCAATGAGACTGCATGTGAAAACTGGAAAGAGATTCATCATCTTGTTTTCCACGTGGCAAACATTTGCTTTGCAGTTGGACTGGTTATTCCAACTACTCTGAATCTTCATATGATTTTTCTGCGGGGTCTGCTCACCATAGGTAGGAGAATTATTCTGGAGAGATTTGCAGCCTTCCTGTGACAGAAATAGCAGTTTGACTGTTATGGAGCTTTCTCCTGGACCCTTCAGCTTATGGTGAAATTTCAGTACAAATTCGTGGTCTTTGTACTCTGCTGAAGGTGTTTGGGTGTCTGTTCTGACCCTGACAGACCTTTTCTGTAAAGATTTTATGTCTCTAGGCTCTTAAAACTTCCCAAAAATACAACTTGCATCTTCAAAACTTTGTAGATGTCAACTACAAAACAAGTGGACCCCATTTACTTCTGACATGACTGGCTGCTTAAAGTTCATTAAATTCCAAATCACAGTTAGGTCTACGGATCTTTAAGACCTTAATTTTAGATTTCAAGTACGTACGCTGACTGATATGTCTGCAATAAGTGAGGTTTTTCTTGAGAAGCTTGGTGTTGCCCCACATGTTCTTTAAGTCTGTGTTCAAACACGTGGCATTTGTGAATCACAGGGTTATTTTCCTTCCTTTAGAAGTGCGGGCTTTCAATACGGAGTGCAGCCTGTGTTCTTAAGTCAGTTGTATTTCCTCCACTGCCAAAAGGCATCTTGTGATAACCAAAATTTGACTTCAGAGGAAAAATTAAATTTGGCATGCTTGAGACTAAGCAAGCATGGTTCCATTTGTGATACTCTTGCAGTCCCTCAGCTATTTCAGAGCCCCAGTTATTTGTGTGGGACAAGGTCTGTGTGATCAAAGGAGTAGTAGTGGTGAGTCATTGCAGGGTAAGAAGGATAAACCTGGGTATATCACAACACAGCATGCTTAAGTAGTTTCAAATGCAAATGCTTATTCATAAAACTGACCCATGTATTGTATGATAGAACTTCTATGGTTGGACTTACAATGATCCTGCCTTTTCTTTTTTTATAGCTATTACAGGAAAACTTACCAAAAGAGACTGCACTGAGGACCAAGGTTCTGAGCATTGCAAGACTTTGTGTAGTTCTTGTTTTAAAAGCGATGGGAGCTCTGCTCTTGCCGAGCCTGTCACTTTGGTCTGTAGGACTTGCTGCATTTTAAAGAGTTAGGGAATTGGAGTTTTTTGCACTTAGTCTGTGGGCAGGAGAGGTAATGAAGTCTGGTTCCTAGGGATCTGTCCCCTTTGCTTTGATGACCCTGCCCCACCTCTGTGCTGCTCCACAGTGTCGCTCCCCTTCAATACTTCCAGGACTCATGTCCTCCCATCCCTTGTAGTCTAATTAACCAGCTGATCAAGAGTCATCATGTTGTTGTTTTTCTGATCCGTACATAAGTGCTGCCTGGCCAATCAGCAACCCAGACAGAATACTGAGTTCATGAAGTCAGCATCGTCTTCAGGGAGAAAGGGGAAAGGGACACAAATTTGGCACCTTGTCCTTCTTGTTGTCCTTACATGAAACTTAAGGGAAAATATCTGTGACCTTTACAGCCATCTCTGAGATGATACGTTCACAGTTATCTGGGAGAGACTCGCTGATGCATAATCTATCATTTGATAAGTGTTGTCTTTGTAGGCTAAAAATAGTACCCCTGATGATACAGAATGAATAATAACAATTGCTTTAAAGGATAAGGCAAAGTAAAGTGACTAAAAAAAGGGTAAGCATTTGAAATTTTCTGTGATGTCATGGAAGAGAATTCAGGTTCTTGATGTGACCTTGTCAAAATGCAGCAATGACCTTTCTTTAAATTTTCAAAAATATCTATGCATGACTTCAGGAGAGGTTTTTTTTGGTTCTCGTTTGTCTGATTAATGCAATACTAGTAATAAAGTTTTGTGAGCTACTTAATTTTTTTTTTTGTACTTAAGATACACTCTTCCCCTATGACATTGTAGTAACAGACCATTGTGGGCTGCACCTTTCTGCTTTCCCCAGCCCTGATCTGGATTATTGTTGCTCCAGTACTGCAGTCCCATGCAACAGGACTGCAGTCTGCTGTCAACCTTCTCTCAGTGTGCCTGTTTGTAGCTTTGTAGGGATTAACTCTGCTGCCAGGTCATGCATTGATCCGCAGAGGCAAACTGCAGTAAAGCTTGTAGAATATATTGCTTTTCAGGATAATTACACCCAGTGGACATGTTCTTGGTGACTTTATACAAATATGTTTATTGTTCAGTGAAATTTAACTTCCTCTTTTTTTCTAAATTTTCACAGGGTGTGCATTGTTCATCATTTGGGCTACACTCTACCGTTGTGCCTTGGACATAATGATCTGGAATTCTGTGTTTTTGGTTGTCAACCTCTTACATTTCATATACCTAGTGTATAAAAGAAGACCGGTATGTATACCAGCTAAATTGCACAACCAGTCTAGTAAGATGCAAGAAAATGGAAATTTTACTCATGTTTGCTGGACAAACCAATGAATTTCACAGCAGTTCTTAAATTAGACAGAAGTTCTTTTGGACAAAATCAGTTAGCTAATTCAGGAAGGATCCAGACCATGAGTACGATCTGATGCAGTACATAATTATTTTCTTGAAAAATTATTTAACTTTAGAAGTTACTCTTGGCTGGTTTTGGCAGTTGTGTTTGGTTTCGGTGGTACAGAAGGGCGTTCATTGTTTCTTTGCAGAGAGACCAGAAATGGTATTTTGGGGTTTGTGTATTTCTTTCTGTTTGTGGGTTTTTTGTCATGTTCCCCACCCAGAAGCGTACATGCATACAGACCTCCTGAAATAAAATCCTAAAATACTTAAAACTAAGCGTTCCAGAACAGTAATTTTTTTTTAATTGGGAATTTGGGAGGGATTAGACTTTCCTACCTCACTTTTAAGTCTTGAATATTCTCTGTGGTGGGAGAGGAGACTGATAAATGACAAGTGCCCTGATACTGTTATTTCAACATAGAAACAAATGCTGATGTCCATTTATAAATGATCTTCACACTCTTTGCTTTGCTGACAAGTGCTTTAGTCCATATGTTTCGTACTGCTGTATTCATTTTAAATGTAAATGAAAGGTAAGTGAGATGCTCCTGCTCTTTTTGAACATCTGTGGGACTCGGAAATAAGCAGGAAAATTCAGTAACGTGTGGGAAGAGCAGTATTAAGTAAGATGATCCCTTCCTTTTATCCCATTTAGTGCATTCATTGCATTTTGAGAGTCATGTCTGGGAATTTTTCAACTCCTTTTGTTGCCCTCAGAAGGATGCATTGGGATAACTTCAAATGCACTCTAAGTATAATTGAAGTGTATGCCAAAAATACAGGATTCTTTGCCCTGCCTTCAGCTAAATGTATATCCAATAGATATACATTTACTTATTTTTATTTTGTCAGTATTATTCATCTAGAAGTATATTCTGATTCTGCAAAATGATTAGCAACCCAACCTTCTGTTGGTATGTGCACACCAAAACTAGATAATCTTTAATATAATAGTTGCTATTGTGTGCCAATCAAATATTAATGAAGTGCTAAGTGTTAAAAATATTAATATTACATTCTGTAGTCTCCAAAATCTAAGGCAGACAGATTTATAATGTAAAGATTACAGGAATAAATATGGGGTTATGTTCAGCAGAATAACTCTGCCTTTGCCCAAAATCAGACACCTTCTGCAAGTGTGTAACAGCTGGTACAAAAAAAGAAAATCTGATTGGAAATAAGCTCTTCACCAAGTCAACACAGAAAGCAGCTAGGAAATTAGCAACCTCCTCCTTTCCTGGCAAGGCAGCATAGAGCTTGACTTCTGTCTTGCTTAGAAGATATCTTAAAACTAGCTAGGCTGATCTACTACTAGACATTTATAGATGTGTAGTAAATATTTCTAGTCATTTAAATTACTCTTAGAGTAATCTTTCCAGTTAAAGGGCAAGTTCCTCTTTAGTTTGTATTGCTAATGTTATTTTAACCTAGTCACAGAATCACAGAATGTTAGGGGTTGGAAGGGACCTCGAAAGATCTAGTCCAACCCCCCTACCAGAGCAGAATATCGAAATGCAGCAGTATGGTAAAACGGCACTGTATTTCTGCAAGTCAGCAGTGGTCATGCTGTCCAATGCACCACACAAAGTAACAGTGGTGATAATGCAGAGCCAGTGAAGCCGGACCCTACCTGTTTGTGTCTGCAGGTACTCTGTTTTTTCATAGGGGATGAGCTTATGCTGTGTTCTTTTTCCCTCAGTGAAGGCACGAAGCTAGCATGTTCTGCTTCCCCTCAACCCAGCCACTAATTGAGCATTTTAATATCATGTTGAGACCTTTAGTCCTCTGTCAGATGGGACAGGAATTGGCTAACAGTCAGAAATTATTGCAAGAGGCAGGAGCACATAGCTGTTAACCTCATTTACCTAGAATACCAAGCCCTAAAACTTGACTGTATTTTAAAAGTGAATTTTGGCATGTGTCCTTAGAACAGGGGTAGTGGTCCTTAGATTCATACCCATCCAACCCTTTCCAAAAATCTAAATAAAAGGTTATTGGAGAATGAAGGAGCATCTTGGGAGGAGAATACACTGTTTTGTGCTCTAGTAAAAAAAAAATAAAAATATCGCTTTACAATGTGTAAATCGCTACAGAATGAAGAAAGAAAAACATTTTCTTCTGTGATTACAGTTGTATAGTAAAAGCTGTGTTGGCATAAGCTGGGGTTTTTTGTGCATTATGGTATGGACTTCATCCTGTTGAATTGCCAGCTTTTTTCGCTAGCTTGTCTAGTAAATTTGTGAGCAGAATTATTTGTAGGAGTTAGGATAAGTGGTAGAAGTGGATTAAGTACTCTACGGGTGGGTTTAAAAAGAAGGAAAAGAGAATTATGTAAAGACATGAAACTTTACTGATAAACTGTCAGTCACCAGAGTTGGTAGAACTTTACCTCTAAGAGTAAGGGCTAGAGGACCTGCCTTTAACTTTGCTCTCTGTTTCTGTAACCCTTCTTCACTGGCTATGTAACCACAGCAGAACTGAGGTGCTTGTTGCTCCCTTAAACTGTGCACCATATACATGTGGTGCCAAACGACAGCTATTCTTATATAGAATAAACTGGAGTTCTAGGCAGAGAATGTTACAGGAACCATAGGAAAATAGACTTTGGTGGGCATCTTCTAAAACGCTGTGCAAGTTAAGGATTTCAACAAATTGAGCCAGAGCAAGCTGTCAAAGGAAGAAGAATTTAAAGGAAATGAGTGATGGTAGAAGGGCTGAAATCTTTACCAGTATGGCTAAAGACAACTGCAAAACAAACTGGTAAGCAACAGCAAATAAAAAGAGGTTAAAGCTTAAATTGCATCTGCCTACAAGGATAACTTGAGTACATTACTTACATGTGTTAACAAAGGAAGGGTTCTACCTGCAGTGGTGTTCCTCCAGTATGGAGCACAGATTAACCCAAAGGTTACCATCTTCAGGGCTACATGACCCTTACAATGTAAAGCTTAGTGAAGCGTTAGTTCTGATAGCCTAGTCATGTAGTGGCTTAAATCATTAAAGCCTTGATAAATATATTAATTGTAAAACTAGAAAAATAAATAATTAAAGACTTAAAATAATGTCAGTACTTTTCTTTCCCTGAAGTTTAAGAAATTACGGAAATTTAAGAAATTCATGAACATCACATGAAAAATATTACACTATTTTAATTGTTGTAATACATAATATTGTAAGTAACTTTTTTTAAAGCAGGTTGTTTGTTTTTGTTGGTTTTTTTTTAAAGCACCCCACACACACATCTTAACACTAGTTCCTTTTCAGGTTTAGTTCTCAGGTCACTGACCAACAATGAGATGATATAGAAGTATATCCTTTTTTTTTTTTCCCCAAAATATCTGAAAGGAAACATAGTGTAAGATAAGTCTTTTTTTCTCCTTTAGAATGTTTGTTCAAGGCACAGAATTTGGGCAGAACTTCTAAGAGTGAACAACAGTTGAGTTGCATAACAGCTTTGGGTGGGACAAGATGAGAAGCTTAAACCTGCATGTTTTTTTTTCTATTCTGCGGTGTAAGTCCTGCATAAAGAAGTTTAGTATCTGGCTCTTGTTAGAGCCTACCTAAATACTTCCCATGTCCTGGCAAGAATGCCAGACAGCTGTTTGCACCCAACTTGATCTATGGTGTGGAAGCTGTTCAGACAGCTGCACTTTGACTTTGCTGGCTCCTGAGTGAAACCAGAGGAGAGCAGGGCTTCCGAGGGGGCTGGAGTTCCCCCTGCACCTGTGGACAGCAAGCTTGTGCTCCAGCCACTGACCTGAAATGTGGTTTAGCCACGTATTGTGCTGTTTGACTTCATGCTAGAGCATAGAAGGAGCACTTACACCACTAGATTGGTGTAGCCTACTAGGAGGTAAGCTAACAGGTCTGGCGTTCACCTGAGTGCAGTGCCTGCCACGTTATATGCTCGTGCTTGACTGTGTCCTAACTTGGTTACAACATCATCAAGGGACTGTCCTGTGCTTGTACTTGGGTCCAGCAATGTTTAAATAGTCTTTGTGGTGATTTGGGGTATTTTTGTTTAATCTGTCTTTGCATGACTCCTGTCACTGTATCTGATTGTGGCCTAGGATTTGTGCTGTAAGGTAACATGTATACCAAATTACAGGAAATGTAAAACTACTTGTTTCACTTTTATCCTTATATGAATTTCTGTACTGTAGCTTTTTCTCTCTGGCCATGGCAAAACATAGCGTTGTTCCATAGAGAAGGATGAGAAAATTTTCTCAAAGTATAAAGCATGGAAAGGTCTAATGAAAATTCTGTCTGTACAGTGAGGGTACAAACACTTGTGTTAACAAATGACAGATAATAAGTAGTTGAAGTCAACTGTATTTAAAATAGTTTCCTGCATGTATATGCTAACTCTGTGTATCCGACCATGATCAAAATATGGTCTTCCACCAGTTCCATGAACAACAAAAGTGACATGGTTGAATCTTAAGTTTCCTCTTTCATGTTTGTCAGGTAAAACCTCTCTGTCACATAAGTCATAGTCATTTAACCTGACCTTTGTAGATGTGGACACCCCTCTTTCAAAATACCGTTTTGTGGCAATAAAGCTTGCAGCACTTAGTTCAAATCAATGTCCCTGGCTCTATACTCCAGATCTTGAACAGAATGAGGGAGCTTGCTGGAGCAGTCTTCCATGTGAAGAGTTCCTAGATGCTCCTTCTGGTGAGACTGGAGTTACAACCACAAGAGCTGCCTTAAACCAAATGTCATTTCTCTTGAACGCAAATGGATGACTACATCTTGACAATCTATAATTTTGGATAGAGAACAGAGTAAAATCATGAAACCACCACCATAGATGCCTTTACTGAATCTTTTTCTTTTGTATTCTGCAGTATTGAACTGCTTTCTAAAGACAGAAACATGCAGGAAATAGAAACAGTAAAATGTAGGAGGAATATCAAACACTTTTAACTGGGAAGTGCTCTACATAGGCATTGACTGTTTTCTTAGATAGTCTCAGTCACATTCTGATACTTGTCCTGAAGTATTACATCATTCAGGACATGGGCACTGCCAGAAATGAAAGGCCTCTGAGAGGAAGCATATGATACTTGAGTCTTAACAGTTAAGAACACTTTCAAAGAGCACAAATAATTATTCATGGTCTCTACTTCTGTGCCAGTAGCTTTAACTTATGAAGTAGGAATTGGAATCATCTTGTCTTACTTCATCCATCTCCAAGTTAAACCTCCAATTTAAGCTTGTTGTCCAGTGAGATTCAAGCCACCCGTGCAGTATCTGTTCAAGATGTGATAGTGCCATCCCTCTCCACTGGCTGGAAAAGAAGCTCACACAGCCATTATAACCAGCTACTAACCTAGCTTTGTATGGTCATAGGTGAGATGCACTTCATTGCTGCTCTCTAGCAGTATAAGGAGAAAAAAATCAAATTGGTTCACACTACTCTAAACAGTAACACCATGAAGAACTGTAGTCTGGCTTTCAGACGATTTGTATCCCTACCATTGCAGGTGTTTTCTGGCAACTGAGAGTACTCAGCTTCTCTGAAAACGAGGCTGTTTGTACCTAGTAAGTTATGTGGATTTAAATAATAGCTGAAATTATATGGAAACGGAATAATATCCAAAACAATATATGAATCTCTTTGTTGCAGGCTATGATCAGCAAGCTTAGTTAGTGACACCTGGTAGTCATGCATGTCTTCTTAGCTGTCTTACATATTCTGTTTATTATGAACATGAAGGCTGTTTTTACGCTTTTCCTATAGAAAGCTAGAAAATGAAAAAAATCTTAGGAACTCATTTTGAATTAAATTTTCTGTCTGCAATTATTATATTGTCCATCTCAATTTTATTTAGTCATCCTCACAAATAATGTTTTTTAAGGCAAGAAAGGAATGGAAGAAGTAATTACAAGTTAGTCATATTACAAAATGAATAATTGATATGTTCAGTTGTTAAATATTTATTTTATTAAATGGAGCATGCAAAATAGCAGCGAGTTTCTTTTCTGACCAGAAGATTATTTCTGTGGTTTGGACTCCTTGGAGATTTACAAATTTGGCTTTTTTAGTCTGAGTGGAAGCTGAAAGAGTCTAATCAGTGTCTCTACAGAGCTCTGACTCGGAGCTCTGGCAGCATCCCAGGATATTTCAACTGCTGCCGAACAAAACATTACACCTACCTGTACAGCTCATTTGGAATGTGACCCACAAGCATGACTGGAGGAGCAGTCAGCTGTGCCTGTGAAGGGTGAATAGTCTGTTATGAGGGAGACCATCTAAAGTCTATCTGCAGTGTCCAATCTGATCAGTCTTTAAGAAAGTGGTTATGCCTGATTTCTCTTCTAAATGTTATACATTAGAGGAAGATCATGAGACCTGAATTATTCACTAGTTACAGGACTGCATTTGTACTCCAGGGCCAAATCCTGTCGTCGGGTCTGTGTTGTTTTGAATTCAGCAGTCTTTGGAGCTACTTATATGTTCATCTGAGAGGAATTTATCTATCTTTGAGTTGCAGTGGTCATCTATAGAAAGAGGTGCATATTAAATTGGTACAGCTGCTAAAAATGAGGCTCCTGGAGAACCTGTCAGCAAAACAAATAGTCATCTAACTTTACAGGTATATGGCACATAGTTTGAAATCAAACAGTTCAGGGCAACGCTGAACACAATTTCTCTCGCCAGTTTAAATTTAATCCTTGTTTTGTCCACGTAGATGTCCTCTGAGGTTTTAAAGACTGTGGCATAAGGAACATACAGGAAATTCAAAACGTGGGTTTTGTATAAATGTAGTCACTGGTGGAAGACTTAGTAATTGATTCTGTGAAGCCAGTGTAACTTCAGGTCAGGTGACATCGTGGATGTCATTATTCATCAGGAGCCCTGATAGCATGCACCCATAAGTGCTGATGTTACTGTGAGGCCACTCTTGGTAGTCTTTGAACAATCATGGCGACTGGGAGAAGTGCTGTAGGAGTGAAGGAAAGCAAATGCCACTCCTTTCTTCAAAAAGGGCAAGAAGGAGGACCCAGGGACCTGCAGGACAGTCAGCCTTGCATCAGTCCCTGGAAAGGTGATGGAGTAGTTAATCGTGGAAACCATTTCTATGCATGTGAAGGACAAGAAGGTGATTGGGAGCAGTCAGCATGGATTCACAATGGGGAAGTCATGCTTAAGCAACCTGAAAATGTCCTACGATGAAATGTCTGGCCAGATAGATGAGTGGTGAACGTTGTCTACCTTAATTTCAGTAAGGCTTTCAACACTATCTCCCATAAAATCCTCAGAGAAGTTGTGAAGTATAGGCTGGGTGACGACACAGTGAGATGGATTGAAAACTGGCTGAATGTCTGGGCTGAGTGTAGTAATCGGGGGTATGAAGTCTAGTTGGAGGTGTATGCACTGGCAGTTTAACCTAGGGGTCAATGCTATGTCCAGTTCTCTTTAACACCTTCATTAATGATCTGGATGATAGGGCAGAGCGTATCCTGATGACACAAAAATGGCTGATAGGCCAGGAGGTTGGGAAGCCATCTAGAGAGACCTCAGCAGACTGGAGAAATGGACCAACAGGAACCTCATGAAGTGCAACAAGTGCGAAGTCCTGCACCTGGGGAGGAGTAACCCCATGTACCAGCACATGCCACAGCCTGACCAGCTGGAAAACAGCTTTGCAGAAAAGAACCTGCGGGCCCTGGTGGACAAGTTGAACATGAGTCAGCAATGTGCCCTTGTGACAAAGAGAGACAACAGCGTTCAGCACTAGTGAGACTTATCTGGAGGGCTGGGGCTGGGCTTTTCCAGTAGAAGAGAGACCTGGACTTACTGGAGAGAGTCCAATGAAGGGCCATGAAGATGATTAAGGGACTGGAGCATCTCTTCTGTAAGGAGAGCTGGGACTGTTTAGCCTGGAGAAGAGAAAGCTCAGGGGGATCTTATCAATGTATGTAAATACCTGAAGGGAAGGTGCAAAGAGGATGGAGCCAGGCTCTTTCCAGTGGTGCCCAATGGCAGGACCAGAGGCAATGGGCACAAACTGAAACACAGGAGGCTCCATCTGAACATCAGGAAACACCTCGTTACTGTGAGGGTGACTGAGCATGGGTACTTCGTGCCCAGAGGCGTTGTGGAGTCTCCATCCTTGGGAATATTCAAAAACCGTCTGGACGCAGTCCCGCACAACCTTGCTGTAGGTGACCCTGCCTGAGCAGAGGAATGGACCAGATGACCTCCAGAGGTCCTGTCCAACCTCAACCATGCTGGGATTCTGTGACTCTATTAATCTTGTCAATGTTTGTATTCTAGCCCTCCTCTTCTCTGTCCTCATACCATTTCTGGGGCAGAGGTTAATTTATAGGAGTTTCTGCCTCAGCTCAATTTGTTCTGTGTTTAAATAAACTTGAAATGCAGCAAGGAAGCCACCTCAATTTTCCAAAATCTTTTCATTATGCTTGATTTACTGTTTCACATGCACATGTAATTCTACTGAGAAGAGCTCAGGGACAATTTTTGATGTGGAATAATTACATCCTTTAGTGACTAAAGACTAGTATTTTCACCCTAAAATGCTGTCCTGGGGAAGGCACAGGGGGTACGTGGCAGTTTGAAGCCCTTATGGGCTCAGACAGCCAGGGGCCTCCCATGGTCGTTCTGGATTCTCCAGCTCCTCCAGCCACAACTTGACCAGAAGTTTCTTGATTCCCACTGTTGGCTACCATCTGCTGAAAAGTGACTGTTGAACTCCTGTGCTGTCACCTTCTTCCCCTCCCCTGTTTTTAATATTAAATACAAAAAGAAATCTAGAAAATTGTGTAGACTTGGAATATTCTTATTTGTTGAAGTGGTGACTCTTTTCCTTCTTCCCTGCCTTTTTTTTCTTGGTGGCTCTTCTTTATTCTATGTATATTTTATCTTTTAATTATTTGATGCTTATTGTTCTGATTTGTTTTCCTCCCAGCAAATATTCAGGCTTTGTTCAGGCTGCCTCTGCTTTCAGGGAGGCTGGGATACTGTCTTGTTCCCTGCTGCCTTCATTCAGAAAAGACTTCCAGGCTTGGGATTTCAGCCAACATCCTTTCCCTCATTGCTGCTGCCTGAGTTTGGGTGGGCTCCTAGATGTGGGATGTTCAGCTGGCAATGTTTTTTTTCCTCCCTCATCACACGTGGTTTCAATATGATGGGTTTGTTTTTCAGGACTAGCTTTTCTACTACAAGTAAGCCAAGAAGCTCAGGGATGAAAGAGGCTCCCAGGAGAGCCTGAGATATGGCCAGAACAAGGTGTGCATGTCGTGTGAAAAATGCGGGCAACCTCTTTTTTTTTTTTCTGTGTAATTCTGCCCAAGTCATAGTCACTGTTACATCAACAGAAGTCTCTGAACACTCCTTGTTCCTGATTTAATGTGCCACTTGGATGTAACAGCTTTCCAAAGTGCCAGTGTGCCAACCTGGCTAATTTTAGGTAAGGTTCTGGTCACCCCGTCATAGGCAGCGTTTGTGGATAGATTTCACACGTTTACCACTTCTTTCCTTGCCTAAACATGACAAAGATGTTCCTCAAACATAGCAACTAAAGCATTCATGCAGTCTTACCCTTTTTTTACCTAATGCATTTGTGTTTATTGATGTCTTTTGTTTTTGCATTCTAGATCAAGATAGAGAAGGAGCTTAGCAGTCTCTACAAGCGGATGTTTGAACCTCTCCACGTGCCTCCGGAGCTCTTCCAAAGACTAACTGGACAGTTCTGCAACATTCAGACTTTAAAGACAGGTCAAGCCTACGCTGCA